AGGTTCAACCTCAAAGACACATGGAGGGAGCCCGGCTCCCGCCCTCTCCACAGCTGGGCTCTCCTCACCCCCGCTCCCCCCCGCGAGGCCGGGCTTCGCCGCTTCGCCGAGCACCCCGCCGCTATTCCCTTCCCCTCCTTGCCCGACACGGCGGCCCGAACACCCCCGCCGCCCGGCCGGGCGGGTGAGGTGAGTGGGCGGGTGGGTGGCAGGCCCCGTCGGAGCCTGCCCGCTCAGCCTCACCTGTCAGTCGCAGCTTGACGGGCCCGTTCCGCCGGGCCCCTTGGTTGGACATGTCCTCGGCGGGCTCGGCGCTGCCTTGCCCGGGGCTCCCCCTGCCTCTGGGTCCGGGAAGGGAGACGGGGGGGGGGGGGGGGGGGGGGGGGGAGGCGCTAATGGGGTCGGGCCGGGCGCTCAGGGCAGCGGCGGCCGCCGGAGGAGGAGGAGAAGCCCGGATGTGCCCAGCGTCGCCATGAGCGGGGCCGGGGCCGAGGAAGAGGCGGAGGAGGAGGAGACGCGGCCGCCTTCCCCGCTTCCCTTCCCTCAGCTTCCCCGCCCCCCCCCCTCGGCCTCGCAGTCCGGGGCGGCGAGCTACAACAAAGCCGGGGACGGAGGTTGCACGGCGGGCTGGACGGACAGACAGACGGCCGCCTCGCCTCGTCTCGTCTCCCCTCCCCCGGCTCGGCCCGGCCTGCCCCCCCTGGGGGAGGCCGCCTGCCTGCCCGCCCTCCCCTTCGCCGGGCAGGGGGGGGGGGGCCGCCCCGCCCCGGGGTCTGCCCGGGGATGCCGAAGGGGGAACCGCGTCAGGTGGCGTCGACGCTTGGGGTCCTCCCCGGGAGAGCTGAGGGAAAGGTGGGGGGGGGATTGCCATGGCTGGGAGGGAGAGGAGGGGGGAGACGGGGACGAAGGTGGCAGTGAAGTTGGGGGGGTGGTTGGGACGGGAGAATTAACGGTACAAATGGGAAAAGGCCGTAGGGGTGAGAATTCAGAGCCGTGGGGCGGTCACTCGAGGAGTGCTGCTGGTCCGGGGCGGCGTTTTGCCTGGGTAGGGGGTGACGGACTGGCCGTGGAAACTGTTAAACTTTGGACCGATTCACTTATTAGCCGCGCTTTGTGGAAATCGGCAGCCCAGTTCTGTGAGCTGCCGTTCTCAAAATAAAAAAAAAAAAAAAAAAAAAAAAGGCTCGCATCCACGCCGTGTGGCCTAATTTAACTCCCATCCCGGAGAAAAGGTGACTCTTTCCAGAGTTTTCCCAGCACTGCAGCACGCTTTGAGCGAGGGGAGCTCCACACTGCAGCAGAGTCCCGGGCGCATTTCTGCAGGGTCAAAGGGGCCTCTGAAGGGTGGGAATAGCTCCCAGAAAAGCTACGAAGATGGCCACGGTAAAGTTTACCTTAGAAGACTGAGCTAATAAACCACACACCTATTCTTACTAACAACCTTACTAACACTCTGTGCTCATTCAGTCCTGTCATTGCACTGGCTTCTTCCTGCTGAGGCAACCTGTAAAGTATTATCACACGGGTAGTCATAGATTACGATCCAGCCTATGGATCAGGATCCGAACGTGGGATGAAAAGATGACCTGTGCTTCACAGAGTTTATACTGTAGCTTCTACACAGCCTAGGAGGTTTACTGTCTGAGTTACATACACAGAACTGAGCTGTAAGTGTCTCTGGAGCGGTCCCATCTTGAGTGAGCTCAGAGCTTAGGCCTCATTAGATCAAATCTGGGGCGAGGAACTGATTTTTTCCCACTGAAGGCGTTGGAAGTGGTTCTCAAAGCTTTCCTCCCTTAAAATGAGACCCCCTCCCCACAGCGGGTACATGCGGACTCACATCTCCTTCCTCCCAAAGTGTGTCTTAAGCGCCAGGTTCTTCCAGGTGGAAATTTTCCATGGTTCCTGCTGTGGTGGCACTGCTGTTCCAGTGTCACTTCACCTGGGAGCAGTGGAGTCCTGGGATCAGGACCTGGGATCCCTTCCTCACACAGCACTCTGTCTGTTGGCCGTGCAATTGCCTGTTTAACACAAAGCAAGCAAACGTTAGAAACAAACCTTTCTTTACAGCATAGGCAGAGCACGAGAGAAAGTGCTGATTCATTGCTTAGCCGCTATTTCAAGCAAAGAGAATTTGAAACAAGTCAAGTCTAAACTTCACTTACTACAGAACACAGACACAATATATCTGCTGATTTTATGGCTTATATGCTGCACTGAAACAGTTTAAAAGTTACTTTATAATAGTTATGTAAATTCACACACACCTCAAAGACATTCCAGGTGTCCTGATTCCTGCATTAAAAAAAAAAAAGGAAGAAAAATCAGTCTTCATAATTGAAGGTCATACTATTAAAGTTTCAATCTGTTGGAAATTCACACAGCCAGGTCATTATCCTTTTCTAAAACCAACTATAAAAAGCAAATGGCTGATGGTTTGCAAATATTGCAACATTATCTGGCCACTGCTGAACTGAATAGAAAAACAAAATATAAAGCCACTTTTCACATACTTAACATATTTCTAGGTTATTCTAGATTTTTCCTAATGTGATGATTATTTGTTTCTGGGGTCTTGCAGCACTCTGGACCTAGCATTCAATAATTCCGATATAATTTGACAAAAGTATTTAATGTTATGTTAAACATAGTACTCTTGCTACGTGATCTCTTTCCAATGGATAACTAGTGTGTCAGACATTAATTGCAATGCCAATATTTTAAAAAAACCACAACTACTGGGTTTAAATATAGTATTTCATTGCTGAGTAGGTATATGAACATTTTAACGCTTTCATTAAAGGTGTATTTTAAAGGTCATGAAGTATAATTAGTTTCATACTGCTTTTCAGAAATCAACTTGCTGAACTATACATTTTTTTCTAAGATTTTTGGACAGGCTGCTCACCTTTCAGTGAAAATACTGTGATATATTGCAAGTGTTAGAGCATTAATTGACAGTTCATGCATTTAGGTCACTATAAAACACATGGGCTGCAAGATTGCTGCTACTGTAGTGCATTTTTTTTAAATATGTGCAATATTTGATTGTGTGTGTTTATTTTTAAATAACCTATGTGACTTGAGCCTTTTTACTAATGCATCCGTGACACATAGGAAAGTCCTATACGGTAGGTATGTATTTAATAGGGTGAGAGAAGAGGGGGTTTAGCTCTCAATAGCACCTGCAGGCATGGTACATGTCCCATTTAGGTCAGGACTATGTCCTCTCTTGACTAATGTAGGTAGAAATGAACTAGATCAGGTTGCACTTGGCTAGACAAACACACCAGATGCAAACCGCTCGCCTCTTCCCTTCTGGCTTTGTATAAGCATTACAGTGACTGCACCTTGGATGTCCTACACATGTTTCTCTCCCATTGTATCTCCCAATTCTGGAGGGAAATCAGGATTTTTATTCATTGCTCCCCTTCACTGAGTAGAATTGACAAGCAGAATTTAAGACAAGCTGCTCCATGAGGGATCTGTGCAAGATCTGCAGCGAACAGCGGTCAGGCAGTCCTGCAAAGCACCAAGAGCAGCAGCGAATGTAGGAGACCAAAGATACTGACAGTACCCAATGATCGAAAAGTGCTACTTTTCCAACAAAAGAATTCCACACAAAATGTTACGAGCCCGAATTTCTTGTGCCAGTACTATCCCCCAAGTTCTCAAAATATTCTCAGATTAATGGAACAGATATCTTGCTGATCCTGGTTTAGGTTTTAGAAACCAACAGTTTACAGTAAATTTTGTCTATGCAGTTCCATTTCAAGGGCAAAAAGAGGTTTCATGCTTTACGGTGCTGATCTTGCGAGATAAGCAAGGAAATATCATTACTAACTGCTGACAAGTGATCCGTGTTTCACTCTAGGCTGATATCATTGAGCAACAAATCCTTTCAAGATGAGGTAGCTAGCTCAGATCCAGAGGGAAGGGAGTGCCCTGCATCACACCGGAGCTCACTTTTGGATGACAGCCTCGCTGCTGGACTCAGGAGGGAGTCCCATCCAGTCGTCTTCAGCCAGAAGTTAGCAACTGAGGCACAGTCTCAAGGGTTGGACAAAATGTATAGAAAAGGGGTAAGCTCAGGCATCTCTAGGACACCGACAGGGTTGTAGAGGAGTCTATAAGGACAAAATAATTTAATAGTTGGTATCATATTAGTGACATTTTTGAAGAAGTATTTAGAAATACAAAAACTTCCTTTGTTCTATGGCTGCACAAAAAAAGGGCTTTGATTTCTTCAATTTCCCAATAGGAAGAAGAAGGCTTTGCATTCATAGATATTTCTCCAAGGATTTAGTGGTTTTGGACACTGGGAAACGTGAACAAACATCTTTAACCAAATAGTGTTCATTTTCAGAAGAGGACAGTTGTAGTTAGCTTTTTGGAAGTGAGGTCCTTTCCATCTTTAGAAACGGAAGAGTACACTGGAAACTCATTCCTCAGCATGTGGTATGTGTTGAAAGCAAATCAACATTTAAGAATTACATTCCATTTCTTTCGGTGTAGAGGTTTAATCACACCACATTCTTTCAGCAGTAATGAGAGCTGGCTGGTGTTATATCACATTCTTCCCCAGCTTCTGTGATGATATCAAGAAAGCAAGAGAGTTCTGCCCCTATTATTAAGCTTTTGTGAGTAAATTGAAAGGTTAAAACTATTTTCCTGAGACAATTTAAAAAAATAAAGATATTTAAAATTATCTAGATTGTATTTCTTTCTACCAGTCGTCATTTAATAAATTTCCCAGAGCCTGTTGTGGTTGAATTACAGACACCACCCCTAGAGACCATGCAGTTAAAGACAGGGTTGTTCAGAAGAGAATGACACCTCCATTTCCTTTTTCTCTATGATGTATTTCCCTTGTATGTGCAACTGTTAATGCTAAATGCCTATTTTTGCCACCTAATGGTGTAGTTCTGAGAAGAAAAGTATTACAGCAGTATATAGCTAGGCTACCCCATTAAGATTTAAACTTATCAGGTCCAATGTCATCTGAAAAGTAATAAATTTGAAATATTCACAAAAGTCTCTTCCCTTTCTTATCACATTGATATATTTCTTTTTTTTTGGCAAAGCTTTGTTAATGTTGACCAAAATAAAAGCTAAATAAAAAAAAGAAATTGTGAAAAATTATGAATATTTATACCACCAGTGTGCCCTGACTCTTAATTCACCTGATTAACTCGTTCCCTTTCAAAGCATTCCTATTTATCACTTTGCAAAGCATCATTTTAAAGACACCTTTGTTTGCCTGTGATGTACTTTTCACTAGCATGTACTGTCTCTCCCAAGCCAATTTCCACCATTAAAAGCAAGGGTCTTCAAAGCAAAGACTTCCTCTTATCGTGTTAATACAGTCCTTAATAACAAGCAGGC